CACCACGGCCACCACGGTGACGAGCACGGCAACCACGGCAACCACCACGGCGACCATGGTGACCACGGTGACCGCCACGGTGACCACAGCAAGCTCCATGCTCACCATGGTGACCACCACGGCAACCACCACGGTGACCATGGCGACCACGGCAAGCACAGCGACCACAACAAGCCCCATGGTCACCATGGCGACCACCACGGCGACCACCACGGCAACCACGGTGACCACCACAGCGACCACGGCAAGCACAGCGACCACAACAAGCTCCATGGTCACCATGGCGACCACCACGGCGACCACCACGGCAACCACGGTGACCACCACAGCGACCACGGCAAGCACAGTGACCACAACAAGCTCCATGGTCACCATGGCGACCACTATGGCGACCACGGTGACCACCACAGCGACCACGGCAAGCACAGCGACCACGGCAAGCTCCATGGTCACCATGATGACTACCACGGCAACCATGGCAACCACCACGGTGACCATGGCGACCACGACGATGACCACGGCGACCATGGTGACCACAGCGAGCACAGCAAGCTCCATGGTCACCATGGTGACCACAGCAAGCACGGTGACCACAGCAACCTCTACAGTCACCATGGTGACCACGGCAAGCAGAGTGACCATGGCAACCTGCACGGCCACCACAGTGACCACAGCAAGCTCAGTGACTACAGCAACCTCTACAGTCACCACGGCAACCTCCACAGCAGCTACCCTGGTCACCACGGTGACCACAGCAAGGACGGCGACCACGGCCACCTCCACGGTCTCCACGGTGACCGCAGCGATCTCCATAGCAACCTCCACGACAACCGCTGGGACGACAGCCATCGCCAGGGTGACCAGGACGGTGGCCACCACGAAGACGGGGACGAAGGTGCAGAGACGGGGGACCGAAGGGGATGAGGACACTCAGGGATGGAGACACCCAAGGGTGGAGAGATGGAGATACCCAGGGATGGAGGGCTGGAGATACCCAGGGATGGAGACACCCAGGGATGGCGGGATGGTGGCAACCAGGGATGGAGACACCCAGGGATGGGAGGATGGTGGCAACCAGGGATGGAGGCACCCAGGAATGGTGGTACTCAAGGATGAAGGGATGGAGACACTCGGGGCGGTGGTACCCAGGGAAGGAGATACCCAGGGATGGAGACACCCAGGGATGGAGGGATGGTGGCAACCAGGGAATGGAGGAATGGAGATACCCAGGGATGGAGATACCCAGGGATGGAGACATCCAGGGATGGAGGGATGGTGGCAACCAGGGATGGAGATACCCAGGGATGGAGACACCCAGGGATGGAGGGATGGAGACACCCGGGGTGGTGGTACCCAGGGATGGAGATACCCAGGGATGGAGACAGCCAGGGATGGAGGGATGGTGGCAACCCCCGTGTCCTGGTGCCACCTGGGGTGTCCTGGCCCCATGTCCTGGTGCCATGGAGGTCCCATATCTCCATGTCCTGGTGGCACCTGGGGTGTCCTGGCCCCATGTCCCCATGTCCTGGTGCCACCTGGGGTGTTCTGGCCCCATGTCCTCATGTCCCCGTGTCCTGGTGCCACCTGGGGTGTCCTGGCCCTGTGTCACCTGGGGTGTCCTGGCCCCGTGTCCCCAAGTCTTTATGTCCTGGTGCCGTGGAGGTGCCATGTCCCCGTGTCCTGGTGGCACCTGGGGTGTCCTGTCCCCACATTCTAGTGCTATGGAGGTCCCATGTCCTGGTGCCACCTGGGGTGTCCTGGCCCCATGTCCTGGTGCCATGGAGGTCCCATATCTCCATGTCCTGGTGCCACCTGGGGTGTTCTGGCCCCATGTCCTCATGTCCCCGTGTCCTGGTGCCACCTGGGGTGTCCTGGCCCCATGTCCTGGTGCCATGGAGGTCCCATATCTCCATGTCCTGGTGGCACCTGGGGTGTCCTGGCCCCATGTCCCCATGTCCTGGTGCCACCTGGGGTGTTCTGGCCCCATGTCCTCATGTCCCCGTGTCCTGGTGCCACCTGGGGTGTCCTGGCCCTGTGTCACCTGGGGTGTCCTGGCCCCGTGTCCCCAAGTCTTTATGTCCTGGTGCCGTGGAGGTGCCATGTCCCCGTGTCCTGGTGGCACCTGGGGTGTCCTGTCCCCACATTCTAGTGCTATGGAGGTCCCATGTCCTGGTGCCACCTGGGGTGTCCTGGCCCCATGTCCTGGTGCCATGGAGGTCCCATATCTCCATGTCCTGGTGCCACCTGGGGTGTTCTGGCCCCATGTCCTCATGTCCCCGTGTCCTGGTGCCACCTGGGGTGTCCTGGCCCCATGTCCTGGTGCCATGGAGGTCCCATATCTCCATGTCCTGGTGGCACCTGGGGTGTCCTGGCCCCATGTCCCCATGTCCTGGTGCCACCTGGGGTGTTCTGGCCCCATGTCCTCATGTCCCCGTGTCCTGGTGCCACCTGGGGTGTCCTGGCCCTGTGTCACCTGGGGTGTCCTGGCCCCGTGTCCCCAAGTCTTTATGTCCTGGTGCCGTGGAGGTGCCATGTCCCCGTGTCCTGGTGGCACCTGGGGTGTCCTGTCCCCACATTCTAGTGCTATGGAGGTCCCATGTCCTGGTGCCACCTGGGGTGTCCTGGCCCCATGTCCTGGTGCCATGGAGGTCCCATATCTCCATGTCCTGGTGCCACCTGGGGTGTTCTGGCCCCATGTCCTCATGTCCCCGTGTCCTGGTGCCACCTGGGGTGTCCTGGCCCCGTGTCCCCAAGTCTTTATGTCCTGGTGCCGTGGAGGTGCCATGTCCCCGTGTCCTGGTGGCACCTGGGGTGTCCTGTCCCCACATTCTAGTGCTATGGAGGTCCCATGTCCTGGTGCCACCTGGGGTGT